GAGGAGCCCAAAAAGAGGGAAGGGAAATCAAGCTTCGTGGGCTGGCTGGCTGAAAGGGAAACATTGGCTGGGCTGCAATGAGGCGAGGTAGGCATGGAGAATCGTCATATTGGGTGAAGACCTAAGGAGACAAGGGCTGAACACAGAGCTTTGAAAAGAAATATTAGAAATGGTGAGAAATGGAAGACCTGCAAGCTGGGTTTCTGTGGCAAAACAGCCTTAGATTGGTTGAATGGCACGTGTTAAGTTCTTGTGAAATGCATTGACTGTCTATGGTTTTCAACTGTTCTTCAGTTACATAGAGCTTTCATTAGTATGTGTTATACACTGAGATTAATAGTATGTTACTGACTTATATTTATGATATTAGCTCATATGGAAGAGGTTAGGACAGAGCTTTGAACTGTAATTTTGGGGGAGGGGGGTTGTTGTTTTGGTTTTTTAGATATAATACTCTTTAGTTATGCTATCACGTACTGCTTTGGATGTTGTTTTCCACTGGTTTCCAGACCTCGATGCAGTGTCAGTAGCACAAATGTATAGGACAGCATGGGCAAGTTGAGTCTAATTTTTTCTTTTAACTTTCGAGTATTTGCCTCTAACTTTATCAATGCTTATTTAATGTACTTTAATTTGCTGTTTAATGTACTGTAATTACTAACATTTTCTTCAAAACTGCAAGCAATAAAAGCTCTCCACTGAAAAACTGCCCTGATCCCTACTACTGTCGGATCTTGTGTACTTCTGGGGACTGAAGCTTGTTCTTTGCAGTCTTTGGTCCTGAATGTCTGTCTTTTGGCCCCTGAACAGACCTGAAGGAAATTTCTTTTCCCTATTGCCTGTAGCATGAATTAGTCCAATTTTTACTATGATTTGAAGTTGGGAAGGGAGAGAAGATTTGGGCCTCTAAGGATACAGTAAAACTAGTCCTTTACTGAATGAGGAATCGGACAGAAATATAAGCCATCTGATCTCCAAGAAGAGGTACCTATATATGGGCAATGTGGTTACTAGCAATGGCACCCACAACCAGCAATGTTGCCAGAAAAGAAGGGAGTCAAGAACCAGCCTCATTCACAGATGTTATGATTCATTTCTCATAGAAATATCCTTTCTAGATATTGACGTTTGGCTGTTACATGTTGCCAAACATGACCTGTAGTGACAACAGATGTTGAGCTTATTGTTCTATTGGATGAAGAAGATGAGCAAGAAATAAATTAGAGATGCTAACAAAACCAGAAAGCATTCCAGAAGGTCAGCTCTTACCTAATTTGAAATTATTTATTAAGATGATAATTCAAACCCAGCTTATATATATTGAGAGTTTATTCACTTACACTTAAATAGCTTCATTGGATTTAGAGATGCTGCTATCACAGCTGAGAGCAGAATGTAGGTTTTCTTTAGAATGGATCTTATTTCAAAATGCCAGAGATTATTTAAACAGGATTATTCTGAGTATTAAATACATTTTATGTAACAGACTACTTTTCAAGAATTTATTTCTTGTGAAATCTCTTCTTGATATATTTTCATTCTCAGAAGAGAAGAATAAATATCTCCTTTTTCAGTATGCATCAAAATATAGTATCCTAATAGCATGTGCAGACAAATAGAAAGTGTAGGAAGAATAAATCAATAATTCCAACCCCAGTATTTCACTTCCATCGTTTCCATTAAGGAAAATAGATCTAGTTTATATTCTTTTTCAAAATGCTAGTTCATGTATCATTTTAAGCACTTTCCAAAAGTGAGGACTAGAAATGTAATACCTAATATAATATAACATAATATAATCTCTAATATCAATAGTTGGCTTTGGATCTTTATGTATAAACAGTAGCTACTAGTGGGAGATGTAAAATACATTGCTATTAAGAGAATTTAGTTGAACAAACTGAAGGTAATTCAATGAGGCTAAGGCAGCTAGTCTACCTTTACACTGTTTAACTAGGTTTGTTTTGCATTGCACCACTGAAGCGTTGATGGGAATAGTTGTTAGCAATATTCACCTCTAAACTGATGCCTTTCGCAGTTTAAATGGGAGGATAAATGTAGATTACGATAATTCATGTTCACCATCGTTTCCACTCACAATTGGTACGTCTCAGGTGTTTTAGTGAAATTTATCTCACTGTACTCCTGAGGCCAAAGAGGCGGACAGTTGGGCTGACAGGGACCTCTTTCAGGTGGTTTGGAACTGTAGCAATAGTCCTACACTACCATCGCCAGCGGTCTGGAGTCTGCTATGCTTTGCAGTATGGCAAATCGATTTACTCCAAGAACAAAGAAGAGAACATGCCCTTTTTTCCAGTCAGCTGCAGTTCAGTCCATGCAAAGAATCACACTTCTCTTCAGTTACTAAGTTTTATCAGTTCTGCCTATAGTGGGTTTTTACTGCAGTTTTGGAAAAGCAAGTTCATACCATCGTAAGAGAGCAGAGAAAACAGAAGCTTCTCTCTACATGTGCAATATTGTAATTAAGTCCATACTCTTTGTTCTGTCCCTCAATTCATATATGTTTTAGGAATCAGTTTTCTTACAAGATATTTAATGTAGTAAAGGCTTTCGCATCTGTAGATTCTTAGCTGTCCAGATTTTCAGAGGTCTCAACAATTGTTCTTTTCTTCTGAAAGCACAACTTGTTTAAAAAAACATACAAGTCTTGCGTATGTAGGTGAGTGTTGCTATCTGTTTAAAGATCAGTATTTAAAAAACAAATACGCAAAGAACTCAGCATATATTTTCTCAAATGTGTACTGTATGCAGAAATGAAAGCTATTTTTCATAAACATGGTCTTTTCTGTCTCTTTATCTACAACACCACCTTCCTCCTCTCCAATTTCCTAGTTAGACTGTGCATTATAACAAAACCTACGATGGCCTTCAAACAGGTGGATATTGTAAAAAGAAATGAATAAGTACATAAAGCTATTTTCATATGAAATATTAGTATGAAAATGATAGCTCTGTGTTGTGATTATTGATCTTTTTGGATGAGACGTCTTGGTAAGAATGCTTGTGATTAATTTAAAGGAACTTTTATAATAGATAAGGGTAAAGGAGCCAATAGGTTTGGAAGCCAAAAAGTATTATAAGTATAATAAAAAGTTGATTAGAAAGTCTGTTTCCAGAAGTCTGTGTTGAACTTAATGAAAACCGTGGAGGTATGTCTGGTGATGTTTGAGAGAAGCAGACATTGATTTAGGCATTTTATTGATACCAAACTTTAAATTAGACATGGACTTGTGCCCTTATCTTATTAATGACTCAAGACCAAAATTTTAAGGAGTGTTATTTATTTTGCAGCTGGAGCAAGAATCCAAATGTTAATATGCCTTGGCTAGAAGTCTCTCTAACAAGAGAAACTCTTTCCATGGTAGCTCCCTAGATGGATAGGGGTTTTTTCATCAGTATTTGGAAGACGCAGGAAACTATTTTCTGTTTTGCTTTTCCTTCTACAAAATTAAACATATACCAGTTTGCATTTTTAAATTCTAGTGGGAAAAAAACCCACATTTAAAACTAAAATAAGGGATGTGGTACTTTCTGCAGCAAAAACAATAGCATTTGTAATCTTCCATAACAGAATAAAATGCAAATATAATACTTTGCGGTTTCAGTTCTTGTATGATGACACCCCCAATGTTAAACTTTTTTAAAGACCCAGTCACTAAATAATGTCAAAATTTGTTTTGTAAAATAGATAATATCTATCAGAGTTGATGATGCATAAACATACAGTTTATGTTTAAGTTGCATGGTTTAGGTATATCAATCGTATGAGCTTTATTGTCGGCTGCACAAGTGCCCATTTACCTTCCCATAACATCCCATACTGCTACATCTGCATGCTTGTGAGTACCCAGGCTCACTTGCGTACTTCAGTGCAAGGTACTGTTTTCAGGACATCCTGTAGATGTGCTTCATATTTTGAATTATTTAAAATTACCGGACAGTCTTATCAACTGAAACTGGAATAATAACCAATGACCATGTTTTTAAAGGTAGTAAAGTCCCCAAAAGATGCAGAAATATTCTTAAATATATTTGAAAAAGCGAATAAACACCTAAAAAGCAACTATTATCCTATTAAAAATACTAACAAAAAATAGTTTTTAAGACTTTGACCTAAAATATTTGTCCTAACTTTTCAGGAGACTATTGAGATTTGAGTCTTATAGTGAAACCTTCTTAATTTGATAAAGTGCATGTCCTAAATTGAATACTGAAATGAGTCTCACTGTTGTCTGTTATCACATGTTCAGTTTTTCCACAAAGTATCGCTGAAGTTATCCTCTTCCACCAGTTGAACTACATTTCCCACTAAAATTAGGATTTTATTCATTCACATACATAATTATTTTATTAATAGTGAATATTTCTTAATATCCTGAAAAAAAATTAATAGTTCAAGATGCATTCTGTTAGGGTAACCATATAATTTGCATTGATACAAATACCGAAAAGTCAAAAATACAGTATGCTGCGGTTCAAAACTTGTTCATCCAAAAATGTTTTGATCTAAGTCCAATATACTGCTGTTTTATACAAGCTCTTGTAATTGTGCAACTGATGTATTAGGTTGTAGCTTGCCCCTTTTTTAAATTATTCTTGTTTTCCAACTTTTTGAAGCACTTTCCAAATATTACGTTTTAGATTTTTTAAAAGGTTGCCAATTTGAAGTAATTTCATCCAGAAAAATGAGTTCTTTGTACATTTTCCTCTTTTAACAATGTTACTTTAAATGTTACAGTAAGCAAACAGGCATGTAACAGGGTTTAACACCAAAAATGTTGTCATAACATAGCTGTTGTATTCATTTTGCACATAATGATTATTTAGCGGTATAATTGAATATGTCACTGAATGATGGTAGAGAACAAAACCCCAAACTTAAATTCCTTATAGTTTTTTTTGTATGTCCTTATATTATTTTCGGTTGTACTGTTACTGATCTGTAAAAAAAGCTCTTTGCTTTGCTTTCCCTTTTATAGTTGTTTGAGATCACAGTGCCTCTCTCTCATGGCCCCAAACCTGTAACCGTCAGTTTTGCCAATCACACGTCCTGCAGATGCATGTCGAAGTTGGATGTTTACAGACAAGTTCATTCTATCATAAGACGTTCCTTGCCAGCAACACAAACTCAGTAAGTATGAGACTTGTCTTTCCTTTCACCTTATGAGCAAGCCTGTACAATTAGATTTAATATTGCTGGAAACTTTCACAATTAAGATAGGTGAACTTATACACATTAGTAGTAGTAGCAGAATGCATAAAGGAGCTAATACTGTTTTGCGTGGAGAGAATGTTACTAAAGTAACTAGCACAATACCTTTTTACCCAGTGGATAAACTAGGGCTACGTCATTTAAAAATTAAGAATAATGTTGTTTGTGGGGTTTGTTTCATGGAAAGAGCTACAGTGCAATTGAGGCTTAAAGGAAACATCAATAAAATAAACTTTTAAAAAAAAAGTAGTCATAAAAGCTATCCAAAGATACTTACTTTTGCAAATAAGGAGTAGACAACATTTCTCTCTCTAATTGTATTTACCTATTTAAAAAGCTGTTAAAAAAAAGCTTGGTTTTAGGGAATGTTTGACTACAAATCTTTTTGGACATCTTCATATGCCCGAAGTGAAAATAAAACAGAATGGGAAGGGGAAATAAAGGGTTAATTGAAAGTCCACAGAATTAGCACGTTGATTTGTTTAGTGATTTTGAATGAAAAAAGTCACAGAAGAACTCTGGCACTGAAGCAATTGTTATTAAAACACTTGAAGAACTGCTTCCCTTCATTTTAGAGGACTGAGTGATGATTTCATGATGTATAAATATTTAGTAGGCCAAAAATATGTAACAGACTAACAGTTGCTTAATGGAAGAACCAATGACTAGAAGCTGAACGGGAATTAACTGTAGACATTTTTAATATGACGAGTGAATGGTGCAAAATGCCCAGAAATGTAAGCTGGGTCGTCTTCTCTGTGTTTTCATTCAGTTAGTCTGGATGTTCTCTGACATGTTCCAGCTAAACACAGATTATGTTCTATTTTAATTCAAATTATTGAATTTGTTCATCAAAACATGGATCATAAACAGTGGACTAGAAAAATACTAAGAAATAAATCTATTAATAGTTTAATTAATTGCATGATTAACAGATTATTAAAAATCAAAACCCAAAAGTCAATAATAAAGTCAAATTATGCTGACTATTGGCAGCTTCTCAGGGCTTCCAAATTAAGCACAGTTGTAATTACCATTACAAGAGTTTATTCTAGCCAGGAAACAGCTACCTGTAGTTAGAGGGAAGAAAGCGTACAGATACAGGACTTTGACCAGGTAACTGGTTGTCCTGAGAGTAAGAAATCATGCTTCAACAAAGGTAAGACAGAGTAGTACTAGATGAGAACATATACAGACCTTCTCTACTGTTAAGTACGGTCTTTAAGTTTAAAATCTACAGCATTTTACAAGAAAATAAATTAAAAACAAACAAACAAACAAAAAAAACAACCAAAAAAACCCCAAGCTGAGTGCTTCTAGATTCTAGAAAGGAAAGATATTCACACGTTCCCGGTGGGTGCCTGGATGCTTTTGAGAATCCCACTGGGGTTTTTTAATTTGTACTACTGTTCTCAATTTCTTTTCAACTACTTATTTTTCCTTAACATTTTTATTTATAGGTTTGAATGCTAGTGAAACTGTTGTAAAGCCAAAACTTGGAAAGGTACTTTCTTGTCACAGTGGTAGATCTGCATGTGTGCATGTATTTATGTACATGCTCATTTTAACAGAAATATAGTAATGACTTTCGTATGTATTACTGAAAAGAACAGTCTAAGACTATAATCTATGGGTTTAGGGTAGTAACACTTGGGATCTAATAAGAATGCAAGGCTGGATTATGCCACGATGCACAGGCATGTGTTAGAAAGAAGAAAGAAATTACATGTAAGATAGAATACAATCTTTTTTTATATAAAATATGTTTTCTGCACAACTTTATCCTGATAATTAAGGTCTAGGTCTTTGCCTGTTCTCCCACTTTTTTCCATTTTTTCCTTCTAAAAAGTAGTAGCTACCTCTACATACTTGCAGAGCTGAGGCATGTCAGTTCATGTTAGCCAGTCACCTCCTGGATTAATGGTATCTTAACTTGTACGTTTCTCTATTTATATAGAATGTCATCAAGATGAGTTAGAAAATTGTCACTTTAATTTAGAAGTTTAGCAATTTGGGGTGGGAGGGAGCAGAGGGGCCTTCAATATACATAATTCAGATCCAAGTCTCTATGATGACCTTTTTTCCCTATGGTTTGTAGGTAGGCGCTTACAGAGCAGATAAGCATATTTTAGATGTGGTTTGGACATATGTTGTACACATTAAATGCTTCCCCCTCTTGTGCGTTATCTGTCCTGACACTGAGAGGTAACAAGTTAGCATGCTGATTTTTTTTTTTTTAAGTTGAGTTGACAATGATTTGGAAGGAGGTAGTGAAATTTTCTGCAAAGTGGTTTTGCCTCTGATTTTTTTTTCTAGCCTTCCTGAACTTTCCGAAAATGTTACAATAAGTCATTTTAAAATTTCAGCCGTCTCCCCCAGTAATTTTCTGTACTAGCAGCCAGAGTAGAATTTGTAAATAAGCAGTTCCAGTTCCTTTTGCTGGGTGTCTCCAACCCTGATGCTGAAATACATATCATTCTCTTCAAGTTCTGGTAACCTGGGGTTTGTATCAACATTGTCTTCTTATGGGTTCATGTGCACTTGGTGTTTTCTTCATACTGTGACCCTGGCTTCCTTCTGTAGTTAGTTTTAAACACTCCCAGCTAGAGCCAGGCTGCTCCAGGTGTGAGTTGTTTTTTCTTTTTAAACCAGAATACAATAATACATCTGTAATTTATCCATACTATTTCTCAAGCAGAACTGGGAGACAGGCAGAAAGGACATATGTGCCAAGTGAGGGAGCAAGAGTGAGATCATCAGCAGAATGAAATCAGGAAACACCAGCTTGATAAAACATGAGGCAGGGTGATGTTAAACTACAGCAGTCTTTACAAGCAAAGAGTCATTTTAATGTGGTGAAGGGGAGTGGTATACTTGAATGATGATTATGGAAGAATGTCCCAGCACCTGCATTTTTGAATGCATGAGTAATGGTGCTCAGGGGAATTAAAAGTGCTTAAAATGTGTAATGTATGTGCTGTCTTAACAGATGAGGATTTTAGAAATACTACAGAAACAATGAATAAATGACACAGCCTGGATGCTTGAAGTTAGGCATGACATGTTAAAAGTTGTAATGTCACCTGTGATGATAAAGAAATTGCAAGCAAGGAAGATCAAATAATACATAAATATTTTATCTGTGGTGTATCTACTAGTTAAGTTCAGTCATCCATTAAAAAGAGACCAACTGCTGTTAGGATTTTTTGCTTTCTTTGCTTACCATTACCTTGGCTGCAAAACTCTAGCAGGTAAAGAGCATTAACTGTTAAATTGTTTATTGTCTTTCATTTCTAAAGTGAAAAGGCATCGCTGCTGAAGTCCAAATTTTTAGATTCAGCAAAACTGTCCAGGATTTCAGTGGCTGATGAGAAAGAGTCAGTTAATGTCACATAATTTTCACGTAAAGGGAAAAGGAATCTGATAATCTAATTTTGTTTTAGAAATTAGTTTGGTCTGCAGCATTCATTCAGAAACTGTAATCAGCTGTCTTGATGTCTGTATGTGTGAAAACGTTTTTGTACTGCAAAAAACAATGTATAAAATTATGCCTGTTACCACCTATGGGGTATTTGGCGCACAAATATTTTTTATACTGGTCTGTTTTCTATGTGAGGCTTACATTCAAGGGTTAGAATCTGTTTCCAAACTACATTAGGAAAGTACAAATATCAGTTTCTAGAAGTTAGAGCTAAAACTTAAAATGTGAGAAGGTAATGGGGAGAACCTTAATTAGTAACAGATTTGATAGAGTTAAAAATAAGATTATGAATGAGCTGAAGCTCTTTGAAAGAGTAAAACAAAAGCAATTAACACCTAAAATTGATTCTTTTTTTTTTCCCCCTTGAGTTCTTATGGTAGTAAATCAACAGTATATTTCATTCCACAGGTGTCATGTAGCAAACAAAACCTGTCCAAAAAATCATATCTGGAATAATCAAATTTGCAGATGTTTGGCACAGCATGATTTTGGTTTCTCTTCTCACCTTGGAGATTCTGGTAAGCAGTTTTGCTTAAACGATTAAATGTAGTTCCGTGTTTTGATTTACCTAAAGGAGAAATTAAAAATATGAAAAGTAAATAGTTGAATCTTTTTCTTTATTAATACTATTACTGGTTGTTGCCTATCTTTTGACATATGTTTGTTCTTAAAACACCTTAAAATGTACGAATTCGATACCGTTTCTTCCCTTAAAAATACGGGATGGGTAGAGACAAAATTCTGATTGTGCAACTTCTCTGCTGTATTTCTAGACACATCTGAAGGATTCCATATTTGTGGACCAAACAAGGAGCTGGATGAAGAAACCTGTCAATGTGTCTGCAAAGGAGGCTTGCGGACCTCAAGCTGTGGACCTCACAAAGAATTAGACAGATCATCGTGTCAGTGCATGTGCAAAAACAAACTTCTCCCCGCTTCTTGTGGGCCCAATAAGGAATTTGATGAAGAGAAGTGCCTGTGTGTGTGTAGAAAGACCTGTCCTAAACATCAGCCACTAAATCCTGCAAAATGCATCTGTGAATGTATAGAATCTCCCAATAAATGCTTCTTAAAAGGAAAAAGGTTTCATCACCAGACATGCAGGTAAAAACTCGGTCTTTAGCCCTTTCATTGTTTTAAGGTATTGTCGTGGTTTAACCCCAGCCGGCCACTGAGCACCACGCAGCCGCTCGCTCGCTCCCCCCGGGTGGGATGGGGGAGAGAATCAGAAGAGTAAAAGTGAGAAAACTCGTGGGTTGAGATAAAGACAGTTTAATAGGTAAAGCAAAAGCCGCGCACGCAAGCAAGACAAAACAAGGAATTCATTCACCACTTCCCATGGGCAGGCAGGTGTTCAGCCATCCCCAGGAAAGCAGGGCTCCATCACGCGTAACGGTTACTTGGGAAGACAAACGCCATCACTCCGACCGTCCCCCCCTCCTTCTTCTTCGCCAGCCTTATATGCTGAGCATGACGTCATATGGTATGGAATAGCCCATTGGCCAGCTGGGCCAGCCGTCCCGGCCACACTCCCTCCCAGCCCCCTGCGCACCTGGCAGGGCACGGGAAGATGAAAAGTCCTTGACTAGCGTAAACATTACTTAGCAACAACTAAAACATCAGTGTGTTATCAACACTATTCTCATACTACATCCAAAACGCAGCACTATACCAGTTAATAGGAAGAAAATCAACTCCATCCCAGACAAAACCAGGACAGGTATAAAATTTTGGTTGTGTCATTAGCTGTCTTGCTGGATTGTTTTGTAGCCTTAAGTAAACAGTAAGCCTCTCTTTAATTCAGTTTTACCTTCTATGACTTATCTGTAAGAGGCAACTACTAGGCAGAAAGAGTATTTTAAAGCATGTTTAGTTTCCTGTACTCTTACTACTACTTCATGTGATTTTTTTTTTCCTTTTCATGAAAATGAGGTGCAAGTTCAAACTCCTTGTTTTTTTAGGCTACTTAAAATCCCACTCTATTTTTCCCAAAAAACTAATACTGCAATTAGATTCCAGGAATTAGTTCTGAAGGATACCATCATTCATTTTCACTTCCTAAATTTTTGCATATCCTTCATTTCACTCAACTGATACTAAAGATTTATAAGTGCATAAAAAGTCTTATAGCTCTGGGTGATTTCTGTGAAAAGTAGACGCATGTAACTATAAAACAGACCACCCACATTCATCATTTAAAATGGGATTTGGTCAGGAAGAAAACTCTGCAATTTCTTTATGTATCACTGGAGCTTTTCCTTCCACGACTGCTGCACCCATAGCGGTAGCAGTATATATATAAAAATGTGAATGACTTCAGGTTCTGAGAAACAAACAATATTATTTCTGCTTTGTATATTTTGTGAGTAAAGTGAATTTGTTAAAACAGAAACAATCCCATTTGGAGCAGAAAGGTCACTTATTTATTAATATATGGGAATTATTTCTATTTTATTAGTGACAAATAACAATTCCAGAAATGTTCAGGCACTGGAAATGGAAAATAGAAAATTGGGACATTTAAATGTCTGTGGTAATTCATTGCTTATCAAAACTAAACCGTATGTATTTTTTTAATATAACATGTAATTAGTTGGCATAAATATATTGCCATATATATATACACATTAGTTCATCTGGAATAAAGAGCAAATGTCTAATATTAGAGACTTCAACACAGGTCTTATTCCTAAAATTAATAATAACTAACATTACCTGTTTTCCTATGTTTGGCCTTTTGAGTGGAATAGAAGAGTTGTTAGAAACATAAGAAATAATTTCTTCTCTATTGTTCAGTTTTTATTTCAATTTTATGTTTGCAGAGGAAAAAAAAACCAACCTTATTACATGAGCTTTAGCACATTAGAAAGCCTTAGCACTACTCAAAAGTGTGCACTTCCAGCAGTGCTACATGTATAAACTATGTGTATTTTAAAAGAACATTCACAACTGGAAAAGTCAGGCATTTAAAAAGCTAAGAAATGCCATAATAGATGTCTGATGCCATGTCTATTGATTTAAAGACTATTTGAAGGAGGGAATTGAGCTCAGCTTTTCTCTGTGTTGTTGTGGTTGAATACGATAAAGAGTTTGAATCCCTTTCTCACTTCCAAGAACAATGTGATATAGGATGCTTTTAGCTGTTTCTCTTTTCTAAGCAGTTCATCTTTGTGTGGAGAGAAAGATTTGTATATGGTGTTACTCTATAGCTTTACAACCAATAGCCCTGTAGATAGTAGCGCTGTCAAGGAAAATAGAAGATGCAATTTCTCCTCCTCCTTAAGAAAGCACTTAGCATACGTTTCTCACGTTTTTGGTGTGTCCGCAAGCCTTCCATAAAAGGAATAAAAACCCTGCAACATCCTATTTGTCTTGAAAGACAGACCCCTTGCTGTTATAAGACCATGTAAATGGAGGTACCATGTATAACTTTGTGCAAGATGCCCGAGACATAGACATGAGCAGACCCCTGTAGCCATGTCTTAGACAGTTCCCCATAGAATCATAGAATCATTAAG